GTGGCCGTCCCCCCCCCCCCTCTCCCCCTGCCGCTCCTGCGGCTGTGGCTCCTGTGGCTGTGGCTGTGGATGTGGCTGTGGGAAGGGCTGTTGTCAGCAGAAGTGCTGCTGCCAGAAGCAATGTTGCTGCTAAGAGGATTTGATCTGGCCCCTGGGAAGGTGCTGCAGGTCAGATAAATCAGATAAAGACTTTTTTGTTTGTTTGTTTGTTTGTTTGTTTGTTTTTCGAGACCCAACGCCCGGCCTGGTAAAGACTTTTTACCTGTGCACTGTGATTAAGTCATAAGAGTTTCGTCTATATCCCTTGGTCTCTGAGAGTCTGTTTCTAAGTGGAAAATTCCAACAAGAATCTTGCCTATAAACAACTAATCTGAGCTGAACTCAACAAAATAGTGTAATGATTCTTTTTGTTTGTTTGTTTTGTTTTTTGAGACAGGATTTTTCTGTGTCTTTGGAGGCTGTCGTGGAACTCGCTCTTGTAGACCAGGCTGGTGTCTAACTCACAGAGATCCACCTGCCTCTGCCTCTGCCTGCCGAGTGCTGGGATTAAAGGCGTGCGCCACCACCGCCTGGCATGTTATGTCTTTTGAGATTTCCCCATTTAAATGCTTATCTCTACTCCTCTTACCCTTACCCTGTAGCTTCCACACTGTATCTTAGCTATTTTCATTTCTTTGGAACCAAGACAGTCTTCTCCCAATAAATTACACAAAATTGTCAATCTGTCTGTTTCTTTTCTTATTCTGGCGTGTCTAACTGAAAATGCAACTCAACCCAGAAGAGCAAATCTCCTGATGTTTGTTCGAGACAGAAGTAGAATGGATAGTCTCTACTAAAAGGTTCTCAGATGATTGTAAAGATTGGGCCCCTTTTCACACCCCCTTATATAAGTCAGAAAAGACCCTGGGGTCCATCAGTGGTGTCACATTTCATCCATGTCCCTTGGCCTTCAGAATGCCATGTTCTAGCAGATTCTGATCTCTGTCTGAGGCCAGGTCATATGCAGCTCCTGAAGCCTGTGCAGCAATGGGGTCTGGATTATTTTAGCTTGGTTCTATTAACAGGCTAATATTTGATCACATAGGCTTGGGGAGATGGCTCAACAGTAAAGTGCTTCCTTCAATCCCAAGCACCCATGCTGAAAGCAAGACATGCTTGTGAGTGCATTATCTCCAACACTGGGAAGAGAGACAGGGAATTTCTGGGGCTCTGCTGGCTACATAGTCTTACCAAATCAAAGAGCTCTGACTTCATCTAGAAACCACATCTTAAACAACAACAATAAAAACAAAAACCAGCCAGGTGGTGGTGGTGCATACCTTTAATCACAGCACCACAGAGGCAGAGTCAGGTAGATCTCTATGAGTTCAAGGCCAACCTGGTCTACAGAATGAATTCCAGGACTGTTTCAAAGTGAAACCCTGTTTCAAGAAACAAACAACAACAACAACAACAAAAAGCAAAGGCAGAAAGTGATTGAGAATGGCCATGATGCTGCCCTGTGGCATGCATACACACACACACACACACACAGAAAGAGAGAGAGGCATGCGTGCACACACAGTATACATGCACACGTGAACACAAGATTGTGTACATATATGCACACACATAATGCATATACATGAGCACATATATACATAATATATTTAAAAGTAAGGTGCCGATGATCCATAATGACAGGATGCTGACCTCTGGTCCTCACATACCAATGCACATCCATACACACATTACTGTACTCATAATGCATATACACATGAACAAATACATTCATAAATATTTGATTGCAGTTTGTGGCCATTTTTATTCCATCCCCAGTACTTGTTAACTATCTCTCTGGTGGATTATGATCCACAAGATCGTCACAATTAAATCTGCTAGTAAGAGTTGGAAGTTGCTAAAACAGGCTATCTATTTTGATTATAGCCTATTATAGGTAAAAATTATTGTGAGAAGCTGAGTGTGGTACCTGCGTGGGGAGATCACAGGAGCCCAGGAGTTCAAGATTAGCCTCAGCAACACAGTCACCCTATCAGCAATAACAACAGAAAACAAACAAAAAAGTTGTAAACATTAAGAGGTCATAACAAGCAGCTTCTGTACCAACTGACGAATTCCTAGAAGTGAAACCTCATATGACTTGACATCCTTACTCAATCCATGTTCCGGATGAGCTGTCTTACCCATTTTTTACAAGCAGTTAATTTCTAATGTTGTAGCTCAGTATCCCTTGTAAAATGTGTGGGATGGGAACTGAGGTCAGCAGCTACCCTGGGGCTTCAGAAGTGAGCCACTCACTGTTTCCTGCTCCTCAACCATGAGTTCTCTTACCTTCCCTGGACTTCCAAGAAGTGCTCTCAGAAAGTCCATGCTTCAGAATTATTGCATTAAAGAGGACTACAGAAGAGGGAAAAGACCCTGGGGTCCATCAGTGGCATCACATTTCATCCATGTCCCTTGGCCTTCAGAATGCCATGTTCTAGCAGATTCTGATCTCTGTCTGAGGCCAGGTGATATGCAGCTCCTGAAGCCTGTGCAGCAATGGGGTCTGCATTATTTTAGCTTGGTTCTATTAACAGGCTAAAATGAACAAATACATTCATAAATATTTGATTGCAGTTTGTGGCCATTTTTAATCCATCCCCAGTACTTGTTAACTATCTCTCTGGTGGATTATGATCTACAAGGAGCACCCATGCTGAAAGCAAGACATGCTTGTGTGTGCATTATCTCCAACACTGGGAAGAGAGACAGGGAATTTCTGGGGCTCTGCTGGCTGCATAGTCTTACCAAATCAAAGAGCTCTGACTTCATCTAGAAACCCCATCTTAAACAACAACAACAAAAACAAAAAAACAGCCAGGTGGTGGTGGTGCACACCTTTAATCACAGCACCCCAGAGGCAGAGTCAGGTAGATCTCTATGAGTTTAAGGCCAACCTGGTCTACAGAATGAATTCCAGGACTGTTTCACAGTGAAACCCTGTCTCAAGAAACAAACAAACAACAACAACAACAACAACGTTATTTGCCTGCAGCTTTGGCATTATTACATGCATTGGAAGAACCAGATAACAATATAAAGTCGATTAATTTGCTTCAGTGTACAAGTGACAGTCCCCAATTTCATGCCAAAATGAAATACGAATATGCACACGTGAACACAAGATTGTGTACATATATGCATACACACATAATGCATACACATGAGCACATATATACATAATATATTTAAAAGTAAGGTGCCGATGATCCATAATGACAGGATGCTGACCTCTGGTCCTCACATACCAATGCACATCCATACACACATTACTGTACTCATAATGCATATACACATGAACAAATACATTCATAAATATTTGATTGCAGTTTGTGGCCATTTTTATTCCATCCCCAGTACTTGTTAACTATCTCTCTGGTGGATTATGATCCACAAGATCGTCACAATTAAATCTGCTAGTAAGAGTTGGAAGTTGCTAAAACAGGCTATCTATTTTGATTATAGCCTATTATAGGTAAAAATTATTGTGAGAAGCTGAGTGTGGTACCTGCGTGGGGAGATCACAGGAGCCCAGGAGTTCAAGATTAGCCTCAGCAACACAGTCACCCTATCAGCAATAACAACAGAAAACAAACAAAAAAGTTGTAAACATTAAGAGGTCATAACAAGCAGCTTCTGTACCAACTGACGAATTCCTAGAAGTGAAACCTCATATGACTTGACATCCTTACTCAATCCATGTTCCGGATGAGCTGTCTTACCCATTTTTTACAAGCAGTTAATTTCTAATGTTGTAGCTCAGTATCCCTTGTAAAATGTGTGGGATGGGAACTGAGGTCAGCAGCTACCCTGGGGCTTCAGAAGTGAGCCACTCACTGTTTCCTGCTCCTCAAAAAAGGAGAGCACAGGGAAGAAGGTGTGGCTATGATATTGGCTCTGAGAAAGGCAGAGTGCTAATACTTGGTTGTTGGTGGACTTTTTTTGTGTGTGTGGGGTCATGACTGCCAGCTCCCCAAATAACCTCACAGAGACTCATTACTAGTTATAAATGCTTGCCTGATAGGCTTAGGCTTGTTACTAACTACTTCTTACAACATAAATTCATCAGTGCTCTACCATGTAGTGGTAGTTTTTTCAGCATGGCATATTTATCTTGCTCCTCTCTGAGTTTCCTGGAGACTGTGCTCCTTCTTCCCTGTGCTCTCTTTTTGTCTGTAAGATCATCCTAACCTCTACCTGCACAGGTATTGGCCATTTAGCCCTTCATTAAACCAAAGAGAGCAACAAATATTCACAGTGTACAAAAAGATTGTTCCACAGATTGTTCCACAAATTGTTATTTGCCTGCAGCTTTGGCATTATTACATGCATTGGAAGAACCAGATAACAATATAAAGTCGATTAATTTGCTTCAGTGTACAAGTGACAGTCCCCAATTTCATGCCAAAATGAAATACGAATAGTGAAATGCACAAAAATGAACCATGTTTGGGACTTTGCTTGGGTTCATTTGATCCATCTTCTTCTACAAAACCATGGATTCCACTTACAAGTATGTACAAAAGATTGTATGTTCCAGTAGACACATGCAAGGATGATCATGATAGTATTGCTAAAATAGCAAGGGAATCCCATAATCTGGACAGCAGATGAACAGACAAATTCTGGTTCATAGAAAGAAATGCATGTGATTGCAGTAAAACTGTGTTCAAAGCAAAGCAATGATGAATGTAGGCTTTAGGATAGAGGCTGTCTTGGTATGGGATGCCCTAGGGATGGGTATACAGTTAGACCATAGTTTCAAGGTCCTGACTTGTATTATTTTTAAAGTAGCCAATTAAACAGACAATGCTTAGAATATCTTGCAAAGCAACAAGATTATGCCTCGTTATTCTTTGTGTGTCCTATAAAGTTATGGTAAAACGTGGTATTGTGGAGAAAGAAAAGCAAAGGGGGAGGCTTTGTGACCTGGAGGCCAAAGAGCATTTGAGTAGAATGTGTCATCCAGGCAGACCTCAGAGTGATGAGGGAATGAACTGACCAGTTTGGGGGAACAGTAAATGTCTAGAAAGTGGAAGCGAATGATGGACAACGAAATGGTACAGAAGTGGTTGTGGTGGGGGAGTCTTGATGGGTGTCTTGCTGGAATTTGAACATTTCTGGGAATGTCACTGACGTAGCCAGAGAGAATTGACTGAGGTGGGAAGATCCACATGGATCCACATCCTTAAACTGTACACATCCCTCCACGATGGGCCACAGCCTTAAACTGTGTATAACTTTTCATGATGGGCCACACCCTTAAGCTGTACACCCCCCCCCCCAATAATGGGTCACATCCTTAAACTCCATAAATAATGAACAAATCTGTCTTCTCTTAAATTACCTCTGGTTAGGTATTTGATCATAATGGCCAGAAAGGGAATGAAGAGAGTGCTAGATGTCATTGCTGGTATTTTCTCCCCATCTTTGTGTATTTTACATTTATTTCTGATAATCTAATAATCTATGATTTTTAAAATACAGAGGGGGAAAACTTTTTAAAGAAAAATGAGGGAGCAGTGAGGTGGGTGGCTCAGCAGGTAAAGGCATCTGTTACCAAGTCTGATCACCTGAGTTCAATTCCTTAGATGAAGATGAGGGACAGAACTGACTTCTTTAGGGTTGTTCTCTCATCTACAAAGACCACACACACACACACACACACACACACACACACACACACACACACACACACACACCATAATATACATACACACACCATGATATAAAAGGGTCAAGAAGAAATGTGTACTTTCTGCCTGCCCTCCACCATTCTCAGAAAAAAGGAGAGCACAGGGAAGAAGGTGTTGCTATGATATTGGCTCTGAGAAAGGCAGAGTGCTAATACTTGGTTGCTGGTGGACTTTTTTTGTGTGTGTGGGGTCATGACTGCCAGCTCCCCACACACACACACACACACACACACTGAAAATGTAATTTTAAAAAGCAAGAGGGGAAATCCATTTTATCATTTCCATTATTCTCTATTTTTTAAGACTTTATTTGTTTAATATGTATACAACATTCTGCTGCCATGTATATCTGCACACCAGAAGAGGGCACCAGATCTCATAACGGATGGTTGTGAGCCACCATGTGGTTGCTGGGAATTGAACTCAGGACCGCTGGAAGAGCAGTCAGTGCTCTTAACCTCTGAGCCATCTCTCCAGCCCACCATTATTCTCTTTTTTAATTAAAATGTTTTCATGCAATATATTTGGTCGTTATTTTCCCCTCTCCCAATTCCTCCCCAAACCTCCCCATTTCCATTCCCACCCAACTTTATGTTCTTTCCCCCTCTTCTTTCTTTAAAAGCAAGCACACAGACAAAAACAAATGAACAAAAGACCCCAAACACACAAAAGTATTCCATTAGGACAAATAAGAATATACAAGCAAAGACCAATATGGAAAAAAACAAAAACAAAACTCAAACATAGAGCCGGGCATTGGTGGGAGTTCAAGGCCAGCCTGGTCTCCAGAGTGAGTGCCAGGATAGGCTCCAAAGCTACAGAGAGAAACCTTGTCTGGAAAAACCAAACCAAACCAAACCAAACCAAACCAAACCAAACCAAACCAAACCAAACCAAACCAAACCAAACCAAACCAAACCAAACCAAACCAAACCAAACCAAACCAAACCAAACCAACCAAACAAACAAACAAAAAACTCAAACATAGCAAAATGAGACAGGAAAAACCAAACCAAACCAAACCAAACCAAACCAAACCAACCAACCAAACAAACAAAAAACTCAAACATAGCAAAATGAGACAAAAAAAAATCTTAAAAATACCACTGAGTTCACGTGTTGGTGAACTACTCCTGGGCATGGTGTCTGCCCTGAAGTGTGGTTAGCACACCCAGTGAGACTGCATTGGAAGAAACTGATTTTTCTTGTGCTAGTGAGTATCAACTTCAGGTAGCTTCTTGATTAGGTGTGAGAGCCCCGTGTGCACATCCTCCTTTTAGTGCTGGGACCCCATCTGGCTTAAACCTGTGCAGGCCTGTGCATGCTGCCATGGTCTCTGTGATTGAGCTCACATGTGCGTCACACACGTTGTGTCTGAAGACACTGTTTCCTTGGAGTCATTTGTCACCTGTGAACCCATGACTTTTATAATCTTCCCATGATGGAGACATCTCATTTAGGACTGAGTGCTCAGAGTCTCTCACTGTCTGTACATGGTCCGGTCGCGGGTTAGTTCCCATCCGTTGCAAGAAGAAGCTTCTCCGATGAGATCTGAATCATTTTCCATTTCCCCGTCTCAATATTGCAAGTCAGACCCTAAAAGTGGCAGCATAGATGACTCAGGAAAGAGTCACTGGTGTCCAGGGTGGACTCTTCTGGTATGGGAGGAAAGTAACCCTGGCCTTGCCTGAGTCCTACTACAGTTTTCCTATCTGTTGTGGACATGTCTTTGGGTAAAGTCTGTCTCTCCTGTATATGTTTTCTTGGAAATCAAAGAAATGTTTGCCTCACAGAAACGCTAGTTGAAGATCAGCCATGACAGTGAAGGCAGCCATTGGCTTGCTTCCATTTTGAGATATATATTGATTAGTATTTCGGTCCTGTCCCCACAGAGAAGAATCAGGAACTCCATTCAGCGATGCCACAAGATCACGACATTATAGGGTGATGATGCTTGTGCCATTGGAAGCCTTAGGGGTTCCATGGGATAAAGTCATGGACTAAAGTCTTCCTTCTTCACAAATGCTCCCGTTTTCCTGACTTTGTACCCTGGGCACCTGGACAGTATTCTGTGCGTTTTTCATTGAGAATGCCTTTCCCTGGATTGTGCATTTTAAACTCTTCAGGTTAATTTCCATTTATATAAATGATGCCACACATAACCTACATTGATTTTTAAACATTCCTACATTGGTTTTTAAACATTTCTGAGACTCAAACCATTCCTTCTGAATTCCCAGCAATCTGGCTTATTCTTTTTGAATACTGTATGGGCATGACTGTATGATTCCCGTGTGTGGGTAGATCATGTGATCTGACCTTATTAACAGACTGACCAGTGGTTTAGCTTTCCTAGTACTTTTACTCCATACATTGCAATGAATACTAAATGATAAGGGTTTTTGTTCATTTGTTTGTTTGTCTGAATATTCAGGCTAGTAGATTTCTGTCCTAAGAGACAATGCCATTTTACATTCTTGCTTATATATGCTTCTCCATATCTGTTCCCATAGTTTGCCATCCATTTCCAAAAGCGACTAGTGGGACTGAAAGAAAAATTGCTGGAGACATGAAGAATGAGCTCCCCAGTTATCCACATTTAACATAGACTAATATCAGTGGTGGTATATATAAATGTATAGGTGTGTTTGTGTTACTGTGAGTGTGATTGCATTCGTGCATTTTTATATATATTTGTATCTGTAAGTGTGTTTGTGTGAGTGTGCTTGTGTGTGTGTGTGTGCTTGTGTGTGTGCATGTGCGTGTGCGTGTGCGCGTGCACGTGTGTGTGCGTGCGTGTGTGTGTGTGTGTGTGTGTGTGTGTGTGTGTGTGTGTGTGTGTGTGTGAAATCCCATGGGTAACTCATCTTTGCAAAACAGATGGTAAAATTCACCTAAAAGCTTCCTCCACAGACGGCTCTGAAGTGAGCTGTGTGCTATGTGGTAGAGAATAGTTAGATGATAAGTGCATCTGCACTTGGCTAAAACCTGGAAATTCATCATAATCTAAGCTTTTAACTGTACCTGAAGAAATGTTCTTGTGAAAAAGATGTTAGTTCTAAATTAAAATTGTATAAGAAATCCATATTTTCTCAAAATGATTTTTTGCTGAATAAAACACACACACACACACACACACACACACACACACACACACACACACACATATATATATATATATATATATATATATATATATATATATATCTGGAATTCAAGTTCCCTCCCTCCCCTCAGTATTACCCATCCATTCTCCCTCAGAAGTAACTACCAAACAAGAAGCTTTTGTGAGTCAAAAATTTGAGGACACTTTGTATAGTTTATTAGACATTGAGGATATTGCAGATAATAACCACAACAAAGTAATAAAGACCCTGGGAATCCACTGTGCTAAAAGATGGGAAAGACAGACATTGGTGGACAACCACGTGAACATATGAGAACTAAATACAGATGATCTAGCCCCACTGGTCGATGGTCCCAGTGACCTGAGGTCCTACTGATAGTCCCTGAGAGATAATCACGTGCTTGCATTTAACTACTTGAGTTCAGACTTTTGTTTTTTAAACAGGGGGGCTTGGAGTCCCCAGACAGAAAGAAAAGAGAGACAAATGCATAAAAGCAAAGTTACAGCACAATCCCATACATCAGGGCACTGGTCAGGAGAAGTAGGCAGGAGTCGCCTGAAGGACTTACCCTGATCCCAGTAGCAGAGGCCAGGCCCTGAGAAAAATCAGAAAGTTTCCATGTTATCCCTTAGAAGACATTGTGAGAGTTATCCATGTGATCATTTTAAAGAGCAAGAAAAAAAGTGTGATAGAGTTCAAGGCACAGAGAGACAGCTGGAGACAGAATGGGGTATAAGACCCCTTTAGTGACAGGAACCAACAGAACCAAGGAGTCACACAGCTCCTGAACACCCCTCTGCCTAGCAGCAGCACTTCTTGCAGCCACACTTCTGCTGGCAACAGCACTTCTGTTGGCAACAACCCTTCCCACAGCCACAGCCACAGCCACAGGAGCCACAGCCACAGGAGCTGCAGCAGGTGCGGCGGCAGCAGCAGCCCAGCA